AGCCCGGCCGGCCAATGGGCGCGCCACTCGGCCGGGGGGGCGGGCTCCCCAGCCCCCTCCCCCTGTCTCCCGCGCGGCCTCGGGCTCTGCGCCCCCCTTCGGTCGTCATGGCCTCGATGGTGGCTCCTTCCCTTGTCTCTCACCCGAGGTCGGAGGGCTTAAGAGCTTCGGTCCTTGAGAGATTCCGGGTGGCCGAGGCACGGAGAGGAGAGGGCGGGAACTCGGCGGGGCCACCTCGGTCTTCGGGTACTTCTGCCCCGGGTCCTGTCCTCCTCCTCCGTCCCCGACTGCCTGCTGACCAGAGCCTGGACCGATTCACTCACTTCTCTAGGGAATGAAGAGCCCTTCCCGTGCGCTAGGAGAGACGCGGGAGCTGCAGGGCAGCCGACGTCCCCTGAAGCAGCCTCTTGTCCTGTGCCCCGGACCCTTTTAACCCGGGGCAGGCCGTGAGCTGCAGGGCTCGGGGGTCACTACGATTGCCTGGTTCAGATAGCAGCAACTGGCCTCATCCACCCACTCAGCCCCTTTCCAGCTCAGAAGCACTCCACCCATGTTTCCTCTACCCAGACCTGTCTTCTGACCCGCTTATGTACCTCGCTGGTTCGGGGTGTGTGCTGCACCCTGGCCGAGGATCTGGTCAGTGTGCATACTCTGCTCCAGGAAGACTTGGCTGTCTTCCTTCGCTTTTGCATATTCGTGTCCACACACCACACACTCTTACCTGTTCTAACTAGGCTTTTGAGTTTCTTGGATGTTCTAGTACTTGCTTCTCAAAGCTATTCCTGCAGGTACTTTCGCCTTAGTTGTCTTCAGCGGGCACAGTAACACACGGAGCTCATTCGCTTAACTTCAGTTTGGGGCATGCATGTGAAGAGCCAGGGCTCAGTAAATGACTCCCAGAATCATAATTAATATTGCGGCTAACGCTCGTTGATTGGTTACTGTGTGCCAGGCGTTGTTGCTCCGTGCTTCACTTGTGTTACCTCACTAAATCCTCATGGCATCGCAGAAAAGCCCCCCTTTGCAGGCTGTTTATCGAGGCCCAGAGTCGGAGTACGGGTGGAACAAGGATGTGGTTTGACAACAAAGCCCATGCTCTCTAACTGTCGTACGCTTCTCTGGTTATTGTGCAGAGATGGAGCGTGGAAAGCACCGAGGGGTGCCTGAGTAACAGCAAGTGCCCCCTATTAGGTAGCTTTTCTTAAATTTTAGGCGTGCTTGTCCCAAGATGCTCTTAGACTTGTGTGTGTGTATGTGATAATGATAAAGTTCAGCCTTCAAAAATGCTAACCGAATTCTGTTGTTTTCAGTAGTCACCGATCACGTGCCCTAAGTAAACTCATGGCTTTGCGCAACTGCATTTTAGGGTACGGTGCAGAATGCGACTATCCCATCAAAGGGGTCCTCTTCTATCGGCATTAGGAAAAAAGATGGCGGTGGCAGAGTAGGGGGCGCGGCCGCCAGCTCGGAGACCCGGCTTGCACTGGGGAGGTCAGGGGGGCGGGGCAGGGTCGACGCCACGTGTGCGGCCCCCCGCCCCCCCCCGCCCCGCCTGGCCTCACGGAGCACGCGCACCCGGCTTGCCGCAGTCTGATTGGCGGGGCCAATACCGCTCAGGTCCTGGAAGTCGGCCCTCGGCTCTGGGGCGCTGCACCTGCAGGCAGGGGCTCAGGGAGGGTGGCTGTCACTCTTCGCTCAGCCCACTTAGCACGGCGAGGACCAGCAGACCGGTCTCGACTACATCTGGGCGCTCCAGCAGCGCCGGTCCCTCCGTGCCCCTGTCTACCATCTCGACCGAGCATGTTCTCCAGGGCCCAGGTGAGGCGGGCTCTACAGCGGGTGCCCGGGAAGCAGCGACTTGGCATCTACAGGTTCCTGCCTTTCTTTTTTGTCCTGGGAGGAACGTTCGAGTGGATCATGATTAAAGTGCGCATGGGCCAAGAGACTTTCTGTAAGTGGGGTTCCAGCAGCCGTTTCCTTTCAGGAAGGGACCAGGCGGCAGGGATCCGTTTTTCTAGGGTGTATGGGGGGTATTTCTCGGGTTGCAAACCGCTCATTCCACTAA